ATAACAAACAGTCTCTCAGACCACAGTGCAATCGAGTTAGAACTCAGAATGCAGAAACTAACTCAGAACTGCACAACTTCATGGAAACTGAACAACTTGCTCTTGAATGTTGACTGGATAAACAATGAAATGAAGGCAGAAATAAAGATGTTCTTCGAAACCAATGAGAAAGAAGACACAACATACCAGAATCTCTGGGACACATTTAAAGCAGTCTCTGGAGGAAAATATATAGCAATGAGTGCCCACATGAGAAGAAAGAAGAGATCTAAAATTGGCACCCTATCATCAAAATTCAAAGAGCTAGAGGAGCAAGATCAAAAAAACTCAAAACATAGCAGAAGACAGGAAATAACTAAGATCAGAGCAGAACTGAAGGAAATAGAGACACAAAAAACTCTTCAAAAAATCAATAAATCCAGGAGCTGGTTTTTTGAAAAGATCAACAAAATAGACAGACCACTAGCCAGATTAATAAAAAAGAAAAGAGAGAATAACCAAATTGATGCAATAAAAAACGCTAAAGGGGATATCACCACAGATTCCACAGAAATACAAACCATCATCAGAGATTATTACAAACAACTCTATGCACATAAACTAGTAAACCTGGAAGAAATGGATAAATTCCTGGACACCTGCATCCTCCCAAGACTAAACCAGGAAGAAGTTAAAACTCTGAATAGACCAATGACAAGGTCTGAAGTAGAGGCAGCAATTAAGAGCCTAACACCCAAAAAAAGCACAGGTCCAGATGGGTTCACAGCCGAATTCTACCAGACATACAAAGAGGAGCTGATATCATTCCTTCTGAAACTATTCTAGACAATCCCAAAAGAGGGAATCCTTCCCAAATCATTTTATGAGACAAACATCCTGATACCAAAACGTGGCAGAGACTCAACAAGAAAAGAAAACTTCAGGCCAATATCCATGATGAACATAGATGCAAAAATCTTCAATAAAATACTGGCAAGCCGATTACAACAGCATATCAAAAAGCTTATCCACCATGATCAAGTAGGATTCATCCCAGGGATGCAAGGCTGGTTCAACATACGCAAGTCCATAAACGTAATTCACCACATAAACAGAACCAAAGACAAAAACCACATGATTATCTGAATAGATGCAGAGAAGGCCTTTGATAAAATTCAACAGCCCTTTATGCTAAAAACCCTCAATAAACTAGGTACTGATGGAACGTATCTCAAAATAATAAAAGCCATTTACAAAAAACCAAGAGCCAATATCATACTGAATGGGCAAAAACTGGAAGCATTCCCTTTGAAATCTGGCACTAGACAAGGATGCTCTCTCTCACTACTCCTATTCAGTATAGTACTGGAAGTTCTAGCCAGAGCAATCAGGCAAGAAAAAGAAATAAAGGGTATTCAAATAGGAAAGGAGGAAATCAAATTGTCTCTATTTGCAGATGACATGATAGTATATCTAGAAGACCCCATCGTCTCAGCCCAAAATCTCCTTAGACTGATAAACAACTTCAGCAAAGTCTCAGAATACAAAATCAACGTGCAAAAATCACAAGCATTCTTATACACCAGTAACAGACTTAAAGAGAGCCAAATCAAGAATGAACTGCCATTCACAATTGCTACAAAGAGAATAAAATACCTAGGAATACAACTAACAAGGAACGTAAAGGACCTCTTCAAGGAGAACTACAAGCCACTGCTCAACAAAATAAGAGAGGACACAAACAGATGGAGAAACATTCCATGTTCATGGTTAGGAAGAATCAACATCGTGAAAATGGCCATACTGCCCAAAGTAATTTACAAATTCAACGCTATTCCCATCAAGCTACCAATGGCCTTCTTCACAAAACTGAAAAAAAACACCTTAAACTTCATATAGAAACAAAAGAGAGCCCGCATAGCCAAGTCAATTCTAAGCAAAAAGAACAAAGCAGGAGGCATCACGCTACCGGACTTCAAACTATACTACAAGGCTACAGTAATCAAAACAGCATGGTACTGGTACCAAAACAGAGGTATAGACCAATGGAACGGAACAGAGGCCTCAGAGGAAATACAACATATCTACAAACATCCGATCTTCGACAAACCTGACAAAAACAAGCAATGGGGAAAGGATTCCCTGTTTAATAAATGGTGTTGGGAAAACTGGCTAGCCATGTGCAGAAAGCAGAAACAGGACCCCTTCCTGACACCTTACACCAAAATTAACTCCAGATGGATTAAAGACTTAAACATCAGACCTAACACCATAAAAACCCTAGAAGAAAATCTAGGCAAAACCATTCAGGACATAGGCGTAGGCAAGGACTTCATGACCAAAACGCCAAAAGCAATGGCAACAAAAGCCAAAATAGACAAATGAGACCTAATCAAACTCCATAGCTTCTGCATGGCAAAAGACACAGTCAGTAGAGTGAATCAGCAACCAATAGAATGGGAAAAAATTTTTGCAGTCTACCTGTCTGACAAGGGGCTGATATCCAGAATCTACAAAGAACTAAAACAGATCTACAAGAAAAAAACAAACAAGCCCATTCAAAAATGGGCAAAGGATATGAACAGACACTTTACAAAAGAAGACATACATGAGGCCAACAAACGTATGAAAAAATGCTCATCATCACTGGTCATTAGAGAAATGCAAATCAAAACCACATTGAGATACCATCTCACACCAGTTAGAATGGCGATCATTAAAAAATCTGGAGACAACAGATGCTGGAGAGGATGTGGAGAAATAGGAACACTTTTATGCTGCTGGTGGGAGTGTAAATTAGTTCAACCATTGTGGAAGGCAGTGTGGCGATTCCTCAATGACCTAAAAATAGAAATCCCATTTGACCCAGCAATCCCATTACTGGGTATATATCCAAAGGATTATAAATCATTCTACTATCAGGACACATGCACATGAATGTTCATTGCAGCACTGTTTACAATAGCAAAGACCTGGAACCAACCCAAATGCCCATCAATGATAGACTGGATAGGGAAAATGTGGTACATATACACCATGGAATATTATGCAGCCATCAAAAACGATGAGTTCGTGTCCTTTGTAGGGACGTGGATGAATCTGGAAACCATCATTCTCAGCAAACTGACACAAGAGCAGAAAATCAAACACCGCATGTTCTCACTTATAGGCGGATGTTGAACAATGAGAACACATGGACACAGGGAGGGGAGCACTACACATTGGGGTCCATTGGGGAGAAAAGGGGGAGGGACGGGGTAGTGGGAAGGTGGGAAGAGATAGCATGGGGAGAAATGACATATACAGGTGAGGGGAAGGAAGGCAGCAAATCACACTGCCATGTGTGTACCTATGCAACAATCTTGCATGTTCTTCACATGTACCCCAAAACCTAAAATGCAATAAAAAAAAAGAAATTACAATCAGCCAAGTGTAAAAAACAAACAAATAAACAAACCCAGAATTTGATGAGATAACCAGTAAAACGAATAAAGTGGAAGATGTGATGATAGAAATGTATTAATTTTCTAATTTTAATCGTCATTTTGATATTACACAGAAGAATGTCCTTTTCTTAGGAAATGCCACTAAAATATTTGGAAGCAATGGGTCATCAGATCAGCAACTTATCAGCAAATGGTTCAGGGAAAAGCAAATGTTATCTGAATTGTACTGATAACCTTCCTGTAAATTTAATCTTGTTTTAAAACAAAGAAAAAATATTTCTTAAAAATATAGGAGGCTGTCTTTATGATCTCAGGGAACAGAAGAATTTCCTAATCTAGGCATAAAAACATTGCAAATATGAATGTTATAATTCAGTCATATGAAAGTTAAGAACTTTATAAATGGAATATTATTCAGCTTTTCAAAAGAAAAGAAATTCTGGCTTTTATGAGTCATATAACATATATCCTATGTGACAACATGGATAAACCCTGAAGACGTGCTAACTGAGATATGCCACTCACAAAAAGACAAACGCTGTAAGTTTCCACTTATATGAAGTACCTAGAGTAGTCAAATTCATAGACACAAAAGGCCAGCGACTGGGCCTTGGGGAAATAGAGAGTTGATTAATTAATACAGTTTCAGTTCTGTACGACAAAAAACTGGAGATCTAGTACTCAATGTTGTGAATACACTCATCAATACGGAACTACCCATTTAAAGATGGTTAAGATGGCAGATTTCATGCTTATTACCACATACATATATACATTTGTGGATAACACTTGAAAGAAAGGAAATGGTTAACACAATATTGTGGAAGTCTCTCCTTTCTGGGATGTGATCTGAAAAGGGCACACAAGGAAATTTTAAAAATTTTTTTCCTTAAGTTCACGTACAAGTGGCTTTCATCATCCTCTAAAAGGATAAGCTCTTGCAAATCTAATTTTTAAAATCAACTCCCCAGGAAAGGGAAGATGTGCCAGTATAAAGGCTCTAAAAATAAAGAACTAAAGGACAGGGAAGGCAAAAGAAAAGAACCATGAATTCTCTCAGTATTATTAACTTTAAAGTCTATTTTTTACACAATAAAGGATCAATTTCTGTACAACAACTTAAGGTTAAAAGTGGTACTGGTCAAACTAGATGTAACTTTATGTAACTACCAAATTTTTTTTTTTTTTTTTTTTTTTTTTTTTTTTTTTTTTTTGGAGATGGAGTTTCGCCCTCGTTACCCAGGCTGGAGTGCAATGGTGCGATCTCGGCTCACCACAACCTCCACCTCCTGGGTTCAATTCAAGCAATTCTCCTGCCTCAGCCTCCTGAGTAGCTGGGATTACAGGCACGTGCCACCATGCCCAGCTAATGTTTTGTATTTTTAGTAGAGATGGGGTTTCATCAAGTTGACCAGGATGGTCTCGATCTCTTGACCTCATGATCCACCCGCCTCAGCCTCCCAAAGTGCTGGGATTACAAGCATGAGCCACTGCACCTGGCTCCAAGTATCTTTTTAAAATATGGAGCCAAATAATATCAATTCCTCATCCTCCCTATATTGCTCACCAAAACAGGACGAGTCAGAAAGGACAGTGGCAGTCCTCAGTGGTCTGAACAAGGGAAAGCAGAAAGAGGCTTTCTCCAGGCAGAAGCTCGCAGCTACACAGTATACAGCCCGCTCAGAGGCCTCCCACTTCTGACTGGTTTCCTAAGAAAAAGAAAAGGTAAGGTTCAAAAATATATCCACATGGTTCCTTATGAGGGGTAGGGAGGGAGAAATTAAAATGTCTAATTCTTCTCAATAGCTTTAAAACATGCAAATCAAATTCTGCATTTTCTACTGTCTACTGGCTATATCAGCTGGGACTCAGGTCAGATATAGACAGGTCACTGATGCTGACTGAAAATCACTTATATTTTACTCACTTTTATTCACAATGCTTTCAGGAAAAAAAAAAAACAAGTTTGATTAAAATTTTTCTCATCATTCTACTCAAAGTACCACAGGCTCTTTATCCTATCAAATGAAATTCTTACTCTGAAAACTACAATGGAATTTTTTTTTTTTTTTTTTTTTGAGACGGAGTTTCACTCTTGTTACCCAGGCTAGAGTGCAATGGCACGATCTTGGCTCACCGCAACCTCCGCCTCCTGGGTTCAGGCAATTCTCCTGCCTCAGCCTCCTGAGTAGCTGGGATTACAGGCACATGCCACCATGCCCAGCTAATGTTTTGTATTTTTAGTAGAGACGGGGTTTCACCATGTTGACCAGGATGGTCTCGATCTCTTGACCTCATGATCCACCCGCCTCGGCCTCCCAAGTGCTGGTATTACAGGCTTGAGCCACAGGGCCCGGCTATAATGGAATTCTTTAAAGATAAAATGTGCAAACTCCAAATAGAATCTTGAGTCCTGCCCTATTCCCTGAACTCCAGATTCACATCTTCAATGTTCTTCACATTTCTACTTCAGAGTATAGCCAACATCTGAAACATATCACAGTCAAAAGAATATCTTTCACATCCACCCTTTCTCCTATTCCAACAGCCATTTCTCTTCCAGGCTGGTGTAAAAGGCTGTCACACTTACCTTCCACTGAGCTGTTAACACTTAAACTGTCCATGGGCTGCGAAGCTAAAAGAATACCGATTATAACGCTCCTTCTGGGGCCTCAGGGCCTGCACAGAGTTTTGCTCCTTCTCATACGCAAAAGCACTCACCCCAGCTCCTGCACAAGCTTACCAGCATTTTCCCTACCACAACGGATTGAGCGCAGGGGGTTCTGGTGAGTGGAGTCTGCCCCTGCCAGTACCTAAGTGGGCAGCTACTCCAGCACCCACACCCCAGTTCCCGCCAGCAAAGGGGTCAGGGAAATTACCCTGCTTCACTGTCTCAGGCAGGTGACCAAGTCAACATCAACAGTGATCAGTCACATTGAAAGTACACACCCTTTGTATGATACGATGAAAACGACACTTCCTCTTTTTGGTCTTCCTCCCAGGCATCCATAAACCCAAATGTATCATGAGAAACACACTTGATAAATCCCACTCAAGGGACATTCTACAAAATATGTGATCAATAGTCCTCAAAGCTGACAAGGTCACCAAAAAAGAAAGGGAAGTCTGAGAAACTGTCACAGTCTAAAAGGAAGCTAAGGAGACACAATGACTAAATGTAATATGGTAACCTGCGTAAGATCCAGGAACACAAAAAGGACCTTGTTATAAGGAGAATGTTTGTGGCCTCCCCAGAATCCTCATAGGTTGAAGCTTAAGCCCTGAACGTAATAGCTTCTGGAGCTAGGGCGTTTGGGAGGGAATCAGCGTTAGAAGAAGTCATCAGGGCAGGGCCCTGGTCTGATGGGATTAGTGCTCTTAGAAAGAGACACAGAGAGCTTGTTTTCTCTTTTAGTGAGAACACACCTAGGAAAGGGGACTGTGCCGTGTGCAGTTGAGGAAGAGTCCTCACTGGATCCCAACCATCCTGGCACCTGATCTCAGGCCTTCAGCCTCTGGATCTCTGAAAACAAATTTCTTTCTTGTCACCATCCACGCTGGGCTGACAGGGCACGGCTCTGCTGCAGTGGCCGGGCTTACCTCCATGAAGGGATTGCTCAGGGTGGGTCCCGAGTCATTCTTGAAGGTCTGGCTGACACAGAGATGCCTCTTGTTGCTGCTCTTGTCCCAGTGCTTCCATTAGTTCACTTCCAGTTCAAGCAGTTCTCCTGCCTCAGCCTCCAAAGAAGCTGGGATTACAGGCACCCACCACTACGCCTGGCTAATTTTTGTATTTTTAGTAAACATAGGGTTTCACCATGTTGGCCAGGCTGGTCTCGAACTCCTGACCTCGTGATCCGCCCACCTCAGCCTCCCAAAGTGCTGGGATTACAAGTGTGAGCCACTGTACTCGGCCTTCCTTTAAAATTTATGATTTGTTTATTTTAGAGACAAGATCTCACTCTTGCCCAGGCTGGAGTACAGTGGTACCACCGTGGCTCACTGCAACCTCTGCCTCCTGGCCTCAAGCAACCCTGGATGAATGGACGTAAGTCTGAGGCTGAAGTGCCAGCCCTGGGTCCACTCCTATGTGGCTATGCTATTGGGAGCAAGTTCATCTCTTTGGGAATGAGCTCAGGGTACTCAGCTCACCACTTGCTTGCCTCTGGTGCTCTCTCTAGACGTCCCACCTGGCCTGGGCACCCACCTTGTGGCTGAAGGCCGGGATCTGTATGCAGTGGAGCTCGTGGCCCAGCTCCAGCCTGTAGGCGCCGTCTGAGCCGTTCTCAGTCTGCAGCCTCTGGCTGGTGCTGCACCGTGCGCTGGCTGCTTTGCTGAGCTGTGAGGATCAATCAAGAGATCCCTGCCCTCCTCTGCCAGGCAGCCCTCCACCAGGGCTCCAAGAGGAGGAAGGCCCAGCCCAGCCTGGCCTCAGCCGTGTCCCCTGGCCCTGTGCTCTGGTTCACCTGTCACTCCATTAGAACCTGTTTGTGGGGAGGTCTTAAGAGATGAATGAATGTCCCCTCAGCAGACACACCCTTTTTTTTTAATGAGCAGGTACTAAGTCCTACTCAGGGCCCACAGAATGACTAATGGAAAATCCTGTGGTGACAGCATCTCTTAGCTCACAGAGCCACAGCCACAGGAAACAGGGCAGGCCCTGCCACCTCCACCTGCCCCACAGCCAGGCGTGCGGTGCCTTACCCAAGAGGCTGCATTGGGTCCTCAGGGAGTTGGTCAGAGCCGGCCCCGCTGCTGCAGCAGGCCGAGGGCACGCAGCCCCGCCAGCCCTGGCATGAAGAGCTCGGCACTGAGGGCGGCCACCCACCGTCCATCCTCCTCCTTCCTCTCCAGCAGTGCTGCAGGGACAGAGAGCAGGCAGGAGAAAGGGTCCGCCCCCAGGGACCAACGCCTCCAGCCGCAGGCAAAGAGGGGACTTGGAAATACCCCAGTGGCCTTGGGGTTGGGGGCTCCTTGAAGAGCCAACACCTGTGCCCTGCACCACAGGCCACAGACAGGCCTGATCACGGCTCACTGCAGCCTTGACCTCCCAGGCTCAATTGATCCTCCCACCTCAGCCTCCCAAGTAGCTGGTACTACAGACATAGGCCACCACATTGGCTAACTTTTGTATTTTCTTTTTTTTTTTTTTTTTTTTGTAGAAACAGGGGTCTCACTATGTTGCCCAGGCTGATCTTGAACTCCTGGGCTCAAGCAATCCTCCTGCCTTGGCTTCCCAAAGTGCTGGGATTATAGGCGTGGGACACTGTGCTTGGCCCAAAAATAAAGTAGAATGAGGCCAGGCACAGCGGCTCATGCCTGTAATCCCAGCATGCCAAGGCAAGCAGATTTCCTGAGGTCAGGAGTTCGAGACCAGCCTGGCCAACATAGTGAAACCCTGTCTCTACTGAAAATACAAAACAAACAAAATTAACGAGGTATGGTGGCGGGCACCTGTAATCCCAGCTACTTGGGAGGCTGAGGAAGGAGAATCGCTTAAACCCAGGAGGCAGAGGCTGCAGTGAGCCAAGATTGCACCACTGCATCCAGTCCCAGCAACAGTGTGGGACACGGTCTCAAATAAATAAAGTAGAATGAAACAAAATCAAATAGGACAGATGACAAAAGAATTAACCACACATCATGGGCTGTCAGGTAAATTTCACCTTCTGAAGCTTCTGCTTCTGCAACACTGAAGGTCATCCAGAACACACAGATGGAAGTGGGCCAGCTGTTATGACTCCCAGACACCCACATGAGGTGGTCAACGGCCACCGCTCCAAGTGCCCCCAGCCCCAGCTCCTGTCCTTACCTTGGAATCTTTAAGAACCCATAAGCGGCACGCCCAGGTGCCACCACCCCGGCTCTGGCACAGGGCCAGCACCTGCTCAGCCTGGGTGTGTGTGTTTTAAATGCCCAGCATATTTTAGGTCAAAATGTTACATGTGTTTCTTATTGTGGGTGAGAATAAAAACAGCCCAAAAGCTGCTATTTTAAGGTTTGTGGGGGCAGTTGGAGGTTGGGGGCGGTTCTGGGGGCTCACACTGAGCCTGCGTCTGTCCTTAGATGGGATGTTGATATTGAGAGGCTGGGTTGATGACGACCATCAGGAGGCATCTGGCCCACACCCTAGCCTAGCCACGGAGGAGACCGGGCACAAGGGGTCTCATCTCCTACCTGTCACGTGGGCCTGGTCACTCAGCAGATGGCTCGGAGAGGCCAGCTTGCTGCCTGCCTGCCATGTGAGGTTCCCTGTAAAGATGACAGGGCTGTCCCCATGACCAGTTTCATCTCCAGCTGCGCCTGGAACCACTCGGCCTTGCCGACCATGGGTGACTGCAGGTCACTCTAGCCCTGAAAAGGCCATGGTGTCACCTGGAATGACAGGCTTGGCCAGCAGGCCCTGCCATGACCACACAAGCTGGGACTGGAGAGAAGGCAGGAGACAGCCCAGGTAATGGCTTTCTATGCCGATCCTTCCTCAGTTTTTGTTTTTTCTTGAGACAGAGTCTCACTCTGTCACCCAGGCTGAAGTGCAGTGGCGGGATCCTGGTTCATTGCAACCTTCACCTCCCGGGTTCAAGTGATTCTCCTGCCTCAGCCTCCCAAGTAGCTGGGATGACAGGCACACACCACAGTACCCAGCTAATTTCTCTATTCTTAGTAGAGACGCGGTTTTGCCGTGTTGCCCAGGCTGGTCTCAAACTCCTGAGCCCAAGTGATCCACTCACCTTGGCCTCCCAAAGTGCTGGGATTACAGGTGTGAGCCACTGTGCCCAGCCTGTCCTCAATTTTTTAAACTCCAGATTTCTCAAAATTAGAAACCTGTGTTACAAACTCAGACGTAAATACAAAGGACTCCTCTTCTCCCCTTGACAACCCCTTCGTTGGGTCCATCAGGAACTCAGTGGACCATCGCTATGGAATGTGACTAGAATCAGCCCCATCTGTCACCTCCGCTGCACACCAGCTCCAGCCCTGGTCATCGCGCCTGCCTCACTGCAGCATCCTCCTGGCTCTCCTGGCTCCCATCCCGCTGCTGGTAACTGATCTCCATATGGTGACCAGACACGTCGAATGATCGCACACTAGCGTTTCTTACAGTACAATCCAAAGTCCTTGAGAAGGCCAGTGAAGCCAGAACTGTGTTGGTCACTGGTGCAGACACTGGCTGGTGGGCCATGGGGACAGCTCACTACGCTCCAAGGCCCCACATGGGAAATCCTCTAGAAAAGCCATGAGCAACTGCAAATACCATCTTTGATGGCCCTGCCAACCTGTGGACCACACACCACACACCCCTCTGATAGCCACTAGCTGGTCAGCTCACCCAAAGGATGTCAAAACAATACTCGCTATTACCAGACCGTCACTACTTAATGCTGTGTTTCCACCGAAGTGTGTGCATCTGCGTACAGATGTATCTGTACATGGATGTATGTGAATGTGTATGTATACAGATATATGGAAATACACAGATATGTGTACGAATGTGTGGATATGGATGTGTGTGTACAGTGATGTGTGTGTACATGGATGTGTATACAGACCTGTGTGCGGATGTGTGTAAAGACGTGTATATATATGGAGGTGTGTATATGAATGTATGTGTACAGATATGTCTACATGCAGATGAGGTGCTCGCAGCTCTTCCTGCTGATAGGCACATCCTAGCGCCGGCTTCCTCCAGTGTGTATCAGAGGCTGCGCGGTGGTGTCAGAGCTTCCTCAGGGTGCACGTGAACACAGTGAGCACAGAAATTCTCTCCCAAACCACAACACTTTGCAGGTAAAGAGAACACTAGTGACAAATGCATCAGGTCAGCAGGCGTAAACTGGGGCTCTCCAGGCAACCCAGGACCCAACCCCCACACACTGGGGCACGGGGTGCCAAACAGTACACTTCCCACACCAACCTTAAATCCCACAAACTTTGAGACAAGTTGGACCCAAGCTCTGGCACTTTGCATTCATGAGCTCACTTGCCTCAGTCTCCTCATCTTGTATGTGGTTACAAAGAGCACTTGAAGAAGGGACCTCCTGTCTACCGCAACAGGCTCCAGAAAGTTACAGAGCACCGGCTGTTACTGTAATTGTGCTGAGCCTGGGGTGGATGGAACTAGAATTTCTCCAAAGGCAAATAAACATTTCCAGGCTTCAGACAGCTCTATAGGGAGTGGCAGGAAGGTCCGAGGGGAGGTACAGGCAATCTGTGCTTGCACATTTAGCAAATAATGAGAGGTCCAAAGGCCCCTGGGAGTTCTGGAAATGAGGCAGAAGTCTCAGCCGTCAGACAGGTGGGGCTTTAGGAGGGAGGCGGCTCTCCCCTGACATGGGTCTTCTCCCCAACCAGGCTGACGGCACAGGTGGAAGTGGAGAGAGTATTTATGCAGCAAGACATCCAGCCCCAGCTTCAGATGCTCCACTCCAGGCCTCTCTGAGAAGACACTGGAAACTGAGGCAGAATCGGGAGATGCACTGCTGAACGTGCCCAGTGGTTCTGCCTGGCAGGATCAAGTCTAAAGCTGCTATTTGTATCCTTGCTGGAGTGCAGTGGTACGATCTCAACTCACTGCAAATTCCACCTTCCAGATTCAAGCAATTCGCCTGCCTCAGCCTCCTGAGAAGCTGGGCCTACAGTCGTGCACCACCACGCCCAGGTAAGTTTTGTATTTTTAGTAGAGACAAGGTTTCACCTTTTTCGCCAGCCTGGTCCCAAATTCCTGACTTCATGTGATCCTCCCACCTCAGCCACCCAACATTTGTATACTTTTTGAAGTCACCAATCTGCTTGCAAAGCGGATAGAAGTTTTAAATCTTCTCCCTAGGATGGAGGAGGCAGACACAAAACTTCAACACAACGACAAGGGCTTCAAGTGACTCTCTAAGTTCCATCCAGGTACCCTTGGGTAAGAACCCTTGAAAAGCACCTGCTAAGATGAAAATGAGCCTGGACAACATAGTAGGACCCATCTCCACAAAAAAAAGTAAAAAAAAAATAGAAGGGCATGGTGGCACAGGCCTTAGTCCCAGCTACTTGGGAGGCTGAGGCAAGAGGACCGCTTGGGCCCAGGGGTTCGAGGCTGCGGTGATCCAGGATCATGCCAGTGCACAGAAGACCTTGTAAAAGAAAGAGAAAAGGGGGGGAGAGAGAAAAGGGGGGGGAAGAAAGGGGGAAAAGACATGGAGGAAATGGAGGGAAAGAGGTAGGAAGAGGGAAAGAGAGGGAATAGAGGGAGGGAGAGAAAGGAAAGAAAAAAGGGAGGAAGAAAAGAGAAAAACAAAGGCCTTGTGGCCAGGGGATTCCATTGCTAGGAATCTGCCGTGCAGAGAGAAGGGTGTTCACCAGAGAAGAATTCTAAGAGAGGAAACCTGGGGAAAACTCAGGAGTCCTTCATCATGAAACTGGCTGAATACATTCCATTCCATGGACTATTCCATGGTCATCCGCACTACACAGGAGACGCTGATTTTTAAGTGGATACATTAACTCCATGTGCTGATGGTGCGCATAGATCATCTCGGAAAGGAATCACCAAAAAAACCCAAACAGTGGCTGGCTTTCAGGAAGGGGTGGGAGAGCGGCTTTAAGGCTGCACCAGCACCAGCCAATAGAACCTTCTGCAGTGAGGACCATGTTTCAGGGCCACCTGCAGCTATGGAGCACCTGAAATGTGGCCCACGCAGCCAAAGAACCAAATCTTTCATTTTCTTTAATGTTAACTCATTTAGATTTTTTTTTTCTTTTTTGAGATGGAGTCTCGCTCTGTTGCCCAGGCTGGAGTGAAGCTGCGTGATCTTGGCTCACCACCACCTCTGTCTCCCAGGTTCAAGCAGTTTTCCTGCCTCAGCTTCCCAAGTAGATGGGGTTACAGGGGCTCACCACCAAATCTGGCTACTTTTTGTGTTTTTAGTAGAGATGGGGTTTCACTATGTTGGTCAGGCTGGTCTCAAACTCCTCACCTCAGCTGAACCATCTGCCTCGGCCTCCTACAGCGCTGAGGATTACAGGTGTGAGCCAGCAAGCCCAGCCGCAAAGGTGTATTTTTGAGTAAAAAAAGCAAGGTACAAACAAAAGATAGGGAACCGCTGGGCGTGGTGGCTCATCCCTGTAATCCCAGCACTTCGCTGGAGCCCAGGAGGTCGAGGCTGCAGTGAGCCATGTTTGCACCACTGCCCTCCAGCCGGAGTAACAGAGCAAGACCCTGCCTCAAGAAAAACTGAAATTAAAAAAACCAAAGCCTAAGCATGACGACTGGGTTTTCATGCTATTGTATGATATCTGCTTTACTCACAACTTGTTACAGTATCATCACATCACCCATCTAATGCGAAAAAAGCAAAGGTAAAACCCAGAAACTCAAACTAAAAATATTTGCAAATCTGTAGCATTATGCATTGTCCTGCGTCTCCCTGAAAGACGCTGAAGCCCTATGCCGCAGGGTCTGTGGATGGGACTTTATTTGGAAATAGGCTCTTCACATGTGATCAAGCTAAGCAGAGGTGATGAGGGTGAATCCTAATCCCGTGTGCCTGGTGTCCTCGTGAAACAGGATGTGTGGACAAAGACAGCTACCAAGGGAAGACAATGTCAAGACAGAGACAGAAGACCACCTACAAGCCAAGGAACTCTGGAAGCTCTGAGAATCTAGGAGTGAGACCTGGGACAGACCCTCCCTCACAGCCTTCACGGGAAAAACAAACAATCAAAAACCCCTTGATTTCAGACTCCTGGCCTCCAGAACTGTGAGAATAAACCTCTGGTTGAAGCCATAGCGTTTAGGGTACTTTGTTAAGGCAGTGCTGGGAAATGATGCTGATTTTTTGGGGCGTGCATCAACACTTCTGCAGGAAATGTGGGACGTGGCATGCTTGAACTTACAATTCATACCTTTCTCTGAATTCTTTTTCTGAGAGACAGGGTCTCACTCTGTCACCCAGGCTGGTGTGCAGTGGCACAAGCATGGCTCACTGCAGCCTCCACCTCCTGGGCTCCAGCAATCCTCTTGCCTCAGCTTCCTGAGTAGCTGAGACTACAGGCACATGTTAATGTGCCTGGCTAATTTTTTAAAAATGTTTTGTAGAGATGGGGTCTTGCTCTGTTGCCCAGGTTTACCTGGAACTCCTAGCCTCAAACGATCTTCCCACCTTGGCCTCCCAAAGTTCTGGGATTACAGGTATAAGCCATTGTAACTGGCTTGCCCCCCCCCACACCTTTTTTTTTTTTTTTTTAAACAGAATCTTGCTCTATCACCCAGGCTGGAGGGCAGGGACATGATCTCAGCTCACTGCAACCTCCACCTCCTGGGTTCAAGCAATTCTTTTGCCTCAGCCTCCCGAGTAGCTCGGATTATAGGTGCCTACCACCACACCCAGCTAATTTTTGTACTTTTATTAGACATGGGGTTTCACCACTGAGTCAGGCTGGTCTCAAACTGCTGACTTCAGGTGATCTGCCCACTTCAGCCTCCTAAAATCCTGCAATCTTGGCTCACTGCAACCTCTGCTCCTGGATTCAAGCAATTCTCCTGCCTCAGCCTCCCAAGTAGCTGGGATTACAGGTTCCTGCCACCACGCCTGGCTAGTTTTGGTACTTTTAGTAGAGACAGGGATTCACCATGTTGGCCAGGCTGGTCTTGAACTCCCGACCTCAGGTGATTCACCTGCCTCAGCCTCTCAAAGTGCTGGGATGACAGGCATGAGCCACTGTGCCCGGCCTACTTCTATTATTATTACATTGTAATATGTAATGAAATACACAACTCACCGTAAGGTAGAATCAGTGGGAGCCACGAACTTGTTTTCTGAAACTAGATGGTCCCTTCTGGGGGTGACGGGAGACAGTGACAGATCAACAGGCATTGGATTCTCATAAGGAGCACTCAGTCCAGCTCCCTCACATGTGCTGTTTACAGTAGGGTTTGAGCTCCTATGAGACTCTAACACCACCACTGATCTGACAGGAGGTGGAGCTCAGGCGGTGATGCCAGCAATAAGGAGTGGCTGTGAACACAGATGAAGCCTCCATCGCCCACCCGCTGCTCACCTGCTGTGCTGCCTACCCAGTTCCTAACAGGTGACCCGGGCATGGTGGCTCATGCC